AAGGTTCAATTCAAGGAAGCTTGGCAAAGTCCTCTGCATGCAGCACCAGGGCTCGGCACATAGTAGGTCCAATAGATATGGACCAAGGGAAAAGGTGGAAATGGGGCGCAGGAAAGTCGAAGAGGGACTGATGAGATTTTTCCCGGAGAATTGGCGGTTTGGGGAAACTCCGCCTCCTCCGTAGGCTCCAAGGGCCAGGGATCTTGAGAATAGTCTGCAGGCTTGACAGGGGGTGGCCCACGAAAATGGCGGGTAGCTGAGCGAGAGCTGATTGGTCGACATTTTGGCGCTCAATACCAAGGGGCTCTTCAGGAGGCGAAGCTCAGCTCCAGCAATGCCGCACGGGCCCTGCGGCTGGTGCGCGTGCGCAGAGCCGCTGGCCCCTTGCCTTTCCAACGCCTTCCAGTCTCATCTTGGCGGGAACTGGGAGGGGCGTGGCCTGGAGAAGGCATTGTGGTCCCACTCCTCAGGCCTCGCGCCGAGCCTCGCGCCACAGCTTCGCACCCTCGGAATTCGTAGCTATCTCCCTCCGAGCTTGGGAACCCTCCGGCCCCAGCTTGCGCGTGCCTTTCCGAGACCAGCCAGGGACGCTGTCGCATCTGGCTGCCATTAGTGGGGCTGACGTACACCGAGAGGACCTCACGCCATTTTGCACGTCCTGAGGCGGGTGCTGGAGGCCAAGGGAAATTGAGGGGAGGGAGCTCCTTTTGCTCTAGATGGCTCGAGGGGAGGCCGGGGTGCCCGGAGTGGCACTTTGGGGGGGGAATGGGGCGGGGGGGGGGGTGGGGACGGACATGCCCGAGGTGCAGGGCAGAGGCGCCGCAGGGCGAGGCTGGCGTTCAGGATCTGGGCTCTCGAGGGGCAGGGGTTTGTGTCTGAGTGAACTGAATCTGAGGTTCGTGGGTGTGCGCCTGGGCGCTTCCGGGTTGGAACGCTGCACCCCAACTGGAAGTCTCAGTTTTGCGTTCTGGATTGGGGGGTCCGGGCTTCTTGCACCGGGTGTTGGGGGAGGGAAGCGGCTGCTTAGACCTCAGGCTTCAAATCCCAGTGCAGAGCGTGGAACACGTGATTAGGCGCTGAAGAGAGAGTTGCAGGGTCAGGAATCCCCGCACTGGTACGGGGTTTCACTGTTTGGGTCTGGGGTCTTCATGGGATTCCAATGTGAGATCTCACCTCTAGCGTTGAGGTCACAATTTGATGGTCTGAAGTGATGGTTTGGGGGTCTAGAGGACTTTATTTTAGGAACAGAAATAAATTTTAGTGACTAAAGTTTGTTTTGCAGGGTCTGGATTTTTTCCGTTAGGTTTTCAGGGTTAAGGTTTTTGAGCTCTGGTTTTGATAATAGGGTTGGGGTTCTATTGAGGATTAGAAATTGGACATTTGAGGGGTCTAGGGAATTGGCGTCTTGGATTCGGAAGGACTCATTTTAGGGTTCTAGGTTCTCGCTTTGGGATTTCAAAGTCATAATTTTAGTGTTAATATTACAGTCTGGAGACCTCAAGCCACAGTTTTCACGCCCCATAGTGTTTTTTCTTTCTTTCTTTCTTTCTTTCTTTCTTTCTTTTTTTTTTTTTTTTTGTCTTTTTTGAGGCAGGGTCTCGTTGTGCAGTTCAGGCTGGCCTTGAGCTCTTTGTAGCCCAGGCTGGTCTCGAACTCTCAGCGGTGATCCTCCTGCCTCATCCTCCAGAGTGCTAGGATTATAGGCTTGTACCACCACGCACAGCCCCATAGTGTAGTTTCTTAGTCTGGCACCTCACAATTGAAGTCTAAGTTCTAAAGTCAAAGTTTGGGAATTCACTGGTTTTGGTTTAGGTCTGGATTATGATTTAAGATCCCAAACTGACAACTTGGGATTCAGTTTAGTTTTATAGTTTTAATTTAGGTCTCTGAGACTGTAGTGGTAATGAATGGGGGTTCTATTTTGGGATTTCTAGGTGCTCAAAGAAACCCTATGGGGGACCTGAAGAGTACCCATCATGTGCCCCATTCCTTCTGTTTTATTTTGTTTTGTCTTTTTTTGTTTTTTGTTTTTTGTTTTTTTTTTGGTTTTTCTCCGGTACCGGGAACCGAACTCACGACCTTGCGCTTGCCAGGCAGGCGCTTTTGCCGCTGAGCTAAA